GTTAGGCAATTTACCGAATGAAATAGAGGATATTTCGGTCATCTGAAAATTCTTCAGGTGTCCCAGAAATAATGATAGTAGCTGTAATGCCGGCCTATTCCGACCCTAAATTTTGGTCGATCTGCTGAATTTTGGTTGCTCCACTAATCTATCCATCGTTATCAAAATTGTACAATATAATTGGCCACAAAAATCATTAGTGCGGCATGACATACCCGAAAATTTATGTTGCTTTTTCAAGTAGATTTTTTTTTTTTTTTTTGCATAGTCATTGAGGAGTAGTTATATTTCTTTAGGGTGTTCGCACCATACCTTAGAAAATATTTATATAGCATATATCACGTAAGAAAATTCGGAATTTGCTCTAGACAATTATGCAGGGTATAATCAAATTAACTACTTCTAGTTAAAAAAGAAAATCATTACACCAAATTAATATACGAAACATTCGATTCGTAACAATATTCAGGATTCAGTAGGAAATCAAATTCGGGATGGTTAAGACCAAAAAAAAAAAAAAATCTATGATTTATAATAAATAAAAGTAATGTAATTAATTTACTTTTACGCGTTCATCACCTAATAAACCTTTTGGGACAAGTACATGAGCGATTTTTTAGCATGTGAATCTATCTTTATTTACATATCTTTATTTACAATTATTTAAAGAGTATGAATTAAAAATGCATTTCTATCAAAATTCTAATCGAGCTTAGGTTATTAATTTTTTTTTGGATTGCATTTTCATAATTCTAGCTTTGATTTTTTTTGCGATATTTTTGTCCGAACACAAAATTATTTTGGAATTCAAAGCTTCCTTGATTGCCCCGTTAGTGTATCCTACATTTGTTAGGATAAAACTTTGGTGGTCCTTATATTGACTAGAAATCGTTCCCAAAAAACGTTTGACATCCACAACCCCAATGGAATTTTTTTCTCGATATTTGCATCGTATGATAATTTTAATTCCAAAATAAATGCCTATAAGATCTTTATCATTTTCGGTTTGTATATACGTGTACACATTTGTAAAAATAATGCCTATATTTTTAAGTTTGATGTGAATCTCCCGCTTAAATATATAACATTTGCCCTCGGAACGTTTCTTTTGATTTAGCTATTAAAAAAAAGAAAAAAAAAGGTAAGCACATCGTGTTTTCATCGTGTTCATCTAGTCCTTAGCGTGACCTTCGATCGTAACCACATCAATCACAGTTTCGAAACCTGCGTGTCTACACGGGCGATTTCTCTGGCACGTGGAGTCCGAGACTCACTCCCGCAGCGTGTCTTACACACGCACGTGCACTAAACAGGCAATGCTCAGTGAGAAAAAAAAAAATACTCACCCCGGCATCATAGTTCACGGGATTCGTCCTTCCGGTATCAGAGTTTGCAGAACTTTCCCTTCCGGCACTGTTCACTGGGTTTGCCTTTACGTTTCCGGCGTGAGAGTTCACTGGGTTTGCCTTTCCATTTCTGGCGTGAGAGTTCACTGGGTTTGCCTTTCCATTTCCGGCGTGAGAGTTCACTGGGTTTGCCTTTTCGTCGTGAGAGTTCACTGGGTTTGCCTTTTTGTCGCGAGAGTTCACTGGGTTCGCCTTTTTGTCGCGAGAGTTCACTGGGTTTGTTACTGGGTTTGCCTTTCCGTCGTGAGAGTTCACTGGATTTGCCCTCCTGGCATTTTTCACATGAGAGTTCGCTCTTTTTACACGAAAAATCTTTGGATTCATTACCGTTACGCTTATAGAAAAAAATAACGGGGAAAAAATAAATGTAATAGAAAAAAAAAACACGAGAATCAACGTAAGTATATATACGTAAAAAAAAAATATAAAATGAATCAACATAAACGTTGTTAA